CTATATTTACCGCGCGGCATCGGCAGCCACAGCCGGGGGGAGGAGGGACATCGCGGGGACCCCCGGCGACCGATGGGGCGGAGCGGGGGGGGATGCTGGGGGGAGCTTTTTCCCCCAGGCTTGCGGGGCCCGGCTGGCCGCGGAGGGATGCTTTCCAAAAAGCAGCAAAGCCGCGGGGCGACGGAGACGGACAGCAGCTGGCAGCTCTGCCCGTACGGTGCCTTTAAGAGCAGGGAGCGCTGTCCCGGCGCCACCTAAAAATAGTGTGTCCCGCCGTCCCGGCTTGATCGCGTGTCGCGCTGGGGTGTCCCAGTGCCGGGACCGCAGCCACTCCCCTCCCGGCGGGCCGGCCGGAGGGCTGCAAAGCCCAGGTGAGAGCGGGAGGGAGCGAGCCGGAGCGGGGTTCAGCCCAGCCCCAAAACCACCCCCACCCCCGAAAAATCGGTGGCAGCCCAAGCAGGGCAGCTCGGAGCGTGGGGAGGAGAAATCGGGGCCACCTGTGGAAGTGGGAGTGGGGGGGCCCAGGGAGCACTTCTCCTGCCCCTGCTGGTGCCTGTAAATCAGGCGCTGGGAAGGCACGGATGTGCCGAGTGGGGGAGGGAGAGAGGGAGAGGTAATCGCCTTTTCCTGGCAGGGACGCCCTCACCACACTCTGCTCGGGCTCTCTCCGCCCGGAAGACACCACGGCCATCCCCAGCACCATGGTGAGGAACGTGGATGACTTTGACTTCTGCCTGCCTTCGCATGCCCAGGGCGTGCTGGAGGGGCTACAGCGGCTGCGTGCCAACCCCAAACTGGCGGATGTGACACTGGTGGCGGGCGGGCGGGAGTTCCCCTGCCACCGAGGCGTCCTGGCCCTCTGCAGCCACTACTTCCATGCCATGTTCTCTGGTGACTTCGCTGAGAGCATCGCGGCACGGGTGGAGCTGAAGGAGGTGGACCCCAGTGCACTGGAGATGCTGCTCGACTTCGCCTATACAGGGAAGGTCACCATCAACCAGGGCAACGTGGAGGGGCTGATGCGGACCTCCAGCCAGCTCCACTCCCCCACTATCCAGAAGGTTTGCAGCCGCTACCTCCGGCAGCAGATGGACGCCACCAACTGCCTAGGTATCTGCGAGTTTGGCGAGAGCCATGGCTGCCCTGAGGTCTCCTCCAAGGCCTGGTCTTTCTTGCAGGAGAACTTTGAAGCTGTCTCTCGGCAGGAGGAGTTCCTCCAGCTCTCCAAGGAGAGGTTGGCTGTCTACCTCTCCAACGACCAGCTGCAGGTGCAGGAGGAGCAGAGTCTGGCTGAGGCTGTGCTACGCTGGGTACGCCATGACCCAGGCCCTCGAGCCCAGTTCCTGCCCGAACTGCTGGAGCTGGCCCACCTTATCTCGCTGCCCAACCAGTACTTGCAGAACCTGCTTGCCACCGAGCCCCTCGTCCGTGACTCAGATGCCAGCAAGGCCCTTGTTGCCCGATCCTGTGCCACGGTGGGTACCCCCTGCCCCAAATCCCGCCCCCAGAGCTGGGGGGGAGGCTCAGCTCAGAGACTGATGGTCCGGCCCTGGCCTCTCCCTCAGGGGCAGAGTGATGCTGGTGCCCGGAAGAACCCCCTGACCCCACCACAGAAGCTGGAGGAGGTGCTAGTGGTGGTCGGTGGCCGCGTGCTGGAGGAGAGCGAGGATGAGGACGGAGGGCTGGAGATGCCAGCCACCCCCAGGAACTTTGCCTTCTACAACCCCAAAAGCAGTAAGTGCCCACGGCAGGGATGGGGCAAGCTCACACACACACCCTGCATGTTAGTTAACCCTCCATCTACCCCAGTGCCACCTCTTGCCAAACGATATGGTGTCAGGAGGGGCACTGGTAGGGGGTGGGGTGTGGGAAGAGTGAACCAGGGCTGGCTTAAAAGCATCATCACTGGCTCCACTGGGTTTCAGGGCGATGGATGGCTCTGCCCGACTTCCCTGATTACAACAAATGGGGCTTTTCCCTGGTGGCTCTGAACAACGATGTGTACGTCACAG